TCTCCTTTCCTGACTTCTTTTCTTCTTCATCACCTTCGGTTTTAACTGGAATTAAGATGGCGAGAAGAGAACCGAGGCTCTTAGGGAATCACTTCCTGCCCAGGAACACAGAGCTACATCGAAGGGGTCACATGCACGGAGAGAGTCTGTGAACTGCCTAGGAAAAAGTTTGCAGCAGTCATGGAAATGAAGGAGATTTAATACATGGTTCACACATTCAGAAACAAATCTTCTGAAGCATGTGGCATAATGCTGAATCAAGAACACAGGTTTTGGAGTCAGACTGACCTGGGTTCAAATTCTGGCTCCATCTCCTATTAGCTCAGCAATGTCAATGAGTCACCTACCCAGAGAAGGATGGGGATGCATGTGCCAAGTGCAGTTTGATGGTTCCTCCATCAATTCAACAATTTTAGTCATGTGGAAACATAAAATTCATTGACTTAATCATTCATTTATTGAATAAATGAATTATGTCCTTCCTTGCTGAGAACATAATCCTATCTTCGGTATTGAGCCCAAACACTGAATTTTACAGTTAATTATTTTGGCAAAGCCCTTACTGAAGAAGAGTTTTATTTCACTAAGTACAAGAGAAGATCACTTCAACCCTCCTCTGGCTAGATTTCACAGATCACTAAGCACAATGAGGAGCAGGTGCAACCCTCAGAAGCAAACACCGCTGTATTCAATTAAAAGTGCACATCTAATTGGTCTTATTAAATTCACATGAAAGACAGATATGGTGGGCACATACCAGACACTGACTCACTGTCATTTTCCTGCCCACAGGGCACCATTCTGTGAGAAGGACTGATGTGAGGATCAGGACTGCAGGTGCCAGCTGGCTTCTGCACCCACTCTGGTCCAGATCTATTTCTTACAAAACTCCAGGGGTTCTGTTTCAGTTATCTCTTGCTGTGTAACAAATCTTTCCTAAACTTACCTAATGAAACCAACCACCATTTTATTTTCTGACATGATGTCTCTGCATTGCCTGGGCTCAGGTGCAGAGTTCTTTGGCTCCACGTGACCTTGCTTAAGGCTGTAATCATCTAGAGGAATAACTGGGCTGGTAAGTCTAAGAGAGCTCACCAATGTCTGGAGTTTGGTGGGGACAGCTGAGAGGCCAGAGTGGCTAGGCCTCTCTCATCTGTGTGATCTCAGGGCTCTCCCTCCTCACATGGCCTCTCTACATGGTCTCTTTGGGTTGTCACCCAGCAGGATGCCCAGACTTTCTTACGTGGTGGCTTAGGGGCTCCCCAAAGGGCAAAAGTAGAAGCTACCAGCTATCTTCAAGATCAGAAATTCTTTTTCTGCTTGTTCTAGCCTGCTGCTTAAGCTCTCAGTTGTGTTTTTTATTTCATTGAGTGAATCTTTCAGTCACATGAGTTCTGCTACATTCTTTTTTAAGGTATTAATTTCTTTGTAAATTTCCTCCCTTATATCTTGGATTTTTTTTTTTTTCTCATTTCATTATGTTGTCTGAGTCTACTCGTATCTCAGTTAGTTTCCTTAAGATTGTTGCTCAGAATTCCTTTTCAGTCATTTCAAGTGTTTCCTGCTCTTTAGCATCTGGTATTTGAGAATTATGGTATTCTTTTGGTGGTGTCATATTTTCTTGCAGTTGCTTCTTCTGTTACTCTGGAGTGGGCTTTGAGGAGAGAAATGTCCTCTTCTTTTTTCTGGTCTCCTTGTGTCAGTGCAGTTGAGTGTCTGGTGGACTGCCTGCACGGTGGCTGTGGCCACTGCTGTGCATTGAGCTACTTTTGCAGCAGCTGTGTCTGTGGTGGTGACTGTGGTGGGCCACCCACACAAAAGTGGTGTTTCAGCCTGCTTCTGGGTGGAGGGGGCTGCCCTCAGGCTCCTGCCTAGGGCCCCCAGTGTTGCTCTCTTCAGGAATTGAGGAAAGTGTTAATCAGACATGGTTTAAGTAAGTGTGCTTCCTCTAGTCCTTTGGCAACATTTCTTTCATCTTCTTGGTCTACGTCACCTGTTGAGCTTCTCCTGCAGTTCATGTAGTCATGCTGTAATTATCACTTCCCTTCTGGGGAACAGCATTTATATTTATTGCTGAGGAAGCTCCATCTCACCATCTTCATTTGTCTGAAGTTCATAATTTATATCAACTTTATATCTTTGCCAACTGTTTCCATAGCCCCAGGAGCTACTATCTGTAATGATTCCTGAATGATACTGAAAACTTAAGGTTATTTTCCTCCAAGGTACATTCTGAAATACTACCCTCCTAATGAAATTCTCTCTTCCTGTGATGCTCTTTGATTTTGGAACACTCTTTGTGTCTGTGACCAGTTAGGGTGTTTATAAAGTCCCTGGGTTTTTGCCAAAAGAGTGACTTCCAGGTTATGTAGAACATGGGAAGGACACATACATAACAGAGTATCTGGTGTGTAGCAGATGCTCAACACATGTTTGTTGAGTGAAATGATAAATGTTATGATAACGGTTATGAGGAATAAATGAGTGCTATGTTCTGAATGTTTATGTCCCCCCCCCATTCATATGTCAAAATCCCCACCCCCAAGTGATGCCATTAGAAAGTGGGGCTTTGGGGAGGTGATTAGCTCATGAAAATGGAACCCGCTTGATTGAGATTAGTGCCCTTATAAAAGAAACCCCACAGAACTAGCTAGCTCCTTCTACCATGAGAGGACACAACAAGATGATTCCATCTATGAACCAGGAAACGGGCCCTCACCAGACACTGAGCCTGCCAGAGCCTATATCTTGGACTACACAGCCTCTGAAACTGAGAAACAAATTTCTGTTGTTGGGCTGGCTGGTTAGCTCACTTGGGAGAGCATGGTGCCGGTAACACCAAGGTCAAGGGTTCAGATCCCTTTACCAGCCAGTCACCAAATACATACATATATACATAAATAAATTTCTGTTATTTATAAGCCACTTCATTTATGATATTCTGTTATAGCATTTTGAGTGGACTAAGACAATGGGTTACCCTGTGAACACTGTGTTCAATATTGTTAGTTACCATTTTGGTATCTGCTCCATCCCTTATTTTCTAATACAAAGTCTCCCCAAAATATTAATTCTGAACCTTAGATTGCCCCAGTCATCTGCTGGAACTGTTTTTCTCGGTGACATTGGATATATATACAATTAACTATCCACATATTTGGTATTTCTGCCATCTTATCTTGTGCTTTCTATTCATCTCACCCTTTTGGTTTCTTTCTATAGCTCTAGTTGCCTCCTTTCTAACTTTTTTCTTCCATTTCTTCCTTTCTAATAGAGATTCCAAATTATGCATTCTATTTCTAGACTTTTAGTGGTTACCCCAGACATTTTTACAACCATACTTTATCCATCAAAATCTAATTTATTTACTATCTTTTTATTCCCTTAACAACATATAACCTTAGAAAATGTTCACTATGATTATCCATCCCCTGACTTATATATTGTTGCATATTTTAGTCATGTTTTGCTTTCTCTAACTTCCAAGACATTGTTATTATTGGTGTATAGAGTCATTTGTTCAGATTTTACAGCCGATTTTTATTCATTTTTCAAATCTGTTTGGCCATTTTTATGGTCTTTTGTTCTTTCCTTATGTCTTCCACCTCTTCTACTATTTATTTAAGCATTCTGAATTTGAAGCTCACGGAGTCTTTGCACATTTAATTCTGTCGTAAGTTGTTTTTGCTGACTTTTGCTCATGGTGCTGTGTTAGTCTTTGATTAATGATTTGTGAGTTTTTGCTCATATTTATTGGAAATAACAGGTGTAATTATTTATTCCCAAGTAGGAAGTGGAAAGTGAGTTCCTCCAAAGAGGATTTGCATCTGCTTCTGTGGTGTTTGGAAGAACAAGCAACCCAGGAACACTGTAAATCAAATTTTTGGTTTGAGGTTTTTGTGGACACACAACGAATACATTTTGTCTGCAAGCCTATTGGAGGTCAGGATTATGATTTGAAAAATCAGGGGATATCTCCCAAACACATCTATTCAGTTCAAGTTTCCAGTCAGCCTGTTTCATTCACAGTTTTCTGGAGGGCCAGGGCCAGGGATAGATTAATTTAACATTTACCTTTACAGGTGAAACTTCCAGGTATCATGTGTTATGATATTGGAAATAGAAATTTGTGTGCAGAAATCTTTCTGAAAGTTTAAGTTTGGTTTAGAAAAGGCAACATCGTCTGTGGTGTGGCTGCCCTCAGCAATCAGTGCCCAGAGGGCCTTTTGGGAAGAGCAGGGAGTAGGACGGTCCCTGGTTTCTACTCAGCATCCTCAGTGCCCATTCCAAATAGAATTGAAGTTACACTCTCAAAGTGGAGGTTGCCAGTGGAGGATATCTTGAGCACAGCTCTCCTGACAGGCACATGTTCTTTCATATCCACCCACACATGGGTCTGCCATGTCCTTCCTGCATCCTGAGCCTGGCTTCACACTCATTTTCTCCTCATCTGTTTGGTCACTCAGTTGAAAACCCTCTTTCTGCCCAGGCTTTCCAGCTCTCTCTCGGAGCATGGGCCACACCACACCTAAAACCCTATCCTCCCTGGATCTTCATAATCAGATCATTTTGAACAAGTAATCTGTCCCATGAACTGGGACAGATTAATCTGTCCCATGAATCTGACTCCCTGTTCAAGCCTTTGACCAGCCCATGGCCTCTTAATCTCAGTCCACTCAAGCATTACCTCCACAATCCAGCCCAGACAGCCTTCTCTCTCTTCTTATTTCTTCCTCCCCTATTACCCTTCTGCCTCCCATGACCTTGTTCACCTGTTCTAATCCAGGGCCCCACTGTTGTATAAAACATGTCATGGTTACATCTTGCTTGATAACAACTCCAACCCCCCACCCACATTTTGTCCATGAGAGGTCAGCCCTTGGATCCATAGACCCAAATGTGAGCAATGCACAGAGGGGACAGAGTATTCCTTCTGCAGCCTCAGAACCTCACTGGCCAGTCCTTTCATTCCCTGTGGGTTTTTTACTTGTAGCCCAAGAGGCCCAGGAGCAAACCTGGAGGTGAGACCTGAAGAAAGCTGGAACCATGCTGACCTTATGCATTGGAAAAAAGCAGATTCTATTCCTGGAAAGCCCATCATCATTGCAGATGAGGAAGACGGGGGTTCCCAAATCTGCCGTGTATGTGGAGACAAGGCCACTGGTTATCACTTCAATGTCATGACATGTGAAGGATGCAAGGGCTTTTTCAGGTAAAGTTGCCCATCAACCTTCACCTACCTGCCACCACTGACACACTGTAACTGGGGTCTTCCATCAGCCCACTGGGCAATATCTCAGGCTCTCAGTTTGACATGACTCCCAGGTTTAGAGTGTGAGCTGGTGGCCCATCCGAAGGCCTCCTAATCAGTCTCAAGTGAGCCATTTATATCTCAGAGGAATCCTTCATCTTCAGTCTTCCTGCTCTACCAGGAAAGGTCCCCTTCCATGAGCTATCCCTTTGTTTCACCATGTGTTCTTGAATAAATTAGAAGATCAGTCAGTAAAAGAGTACAGAATTTGAAAATCCAAAATGCAAGTGTTCTAATCAGTCTTATGGGATGGTTGTTAAGTAAATAATGGCATAAAATAAATGAAAAATATAACAAAACAAGCTCACATAGAAAAAGACAAACAGGGAGGACCAAAGAGTGAAGGACTAAAAAGTCCCAGCTCACAGCAAGTCAGGCCTAGAGAGAAGCGCTCACTGCTGTCCAGTTGAAGAAACAGAAAAAGAAAAGCCAGCAGGGCTCAGACCAAGAGAGGAGGCAGGGGGAGAAAGGAATATGTGGAAAAGGACAAGGAGCAGCTCCTGCCTCAGGGGCCACATGTGGGACCTGGTACATTCTCAAGGCAGCCATCCTGACTTTGCAGAGTCCTTCCTGCTGGCTGGACATTAGAGCGGACATAGGCAGGTCCAGAGGTGCCATGTTCTGGGGAGATATGACCTCTCCTGTTGCATGGGTTATAACAGGGATAAGACACAGCAGCAGCGCCAGGCTGCATGCAGCTACCAGTCACAGAACACTCGACTCAGATTGGTTTAACACTAAGGAAAACATATTATCTCTCATAACAAGAAGCATGGAGGCTTCTGGGTTGGTGAGTTTAGCAGCTCAGTTCTTTCCATTTTTCTCTTCTGCTATCCTACCTGAGAGCTCTGATTTCAGTCTGGCTGAATTCTGACTTCAGTCAGGGGAGCATAGTGCCAGGGCCCCCAGGCAGTAACCATAGGTGTTCAGCCAAGGAACAAAAAGGCTCATCTCTTCCTCTCTCCAAGTGCAAGGAAACCTTTCCCAAAGGACCCCTCACATCACATCATCTAGAGCTGGGCCCTAATCTACTCCTGAACTAGGTAATAGCAAAGAGCACCAGATATATCCCTGAGCTGGGCACAGGCCACATGGCCACAGGGAGGAGGGTGGACATCTGCACCAGATCTGGGTCTGCCACCACAGAAGAGGCCGTGGGTGCATCCGTCCAAGCAGCAACCTTATGGATTGCCTTTGGGTATAGGAATCCTCTGCTCTCCCCTCGCCATGCAGGTGCTATTCGGGGGCTCCCAGAGGGAGGCAACATATTGTAGTGCGTAAGAGCTTCCATTCCGTTATGAGGCAGACCTGGATTCAAATTTCAGCTTGTCATTTACCTGGAGGACAAGTGGTAACCTGGGTTCTCAAAGCCTGTCTCCCTCTTCTCTGCCAGGCAGATGACACAGACTTTTGAGAACTAAATTTGCAAATGTCTGCAACATATCTAGCCCAGCATCTGATTCATAGCATGCCTTTAATAAATGTGAGCCCCTTTCCCCTTTTACCCATCCTGGGTGGACTTTGGGGTAGCATCAGAGGCCTCTTACCCAGGCTAGCAGGCAAGGCAGAAGGGGGAGGTGGCCTCTGTGAAGGGCATGTCCCCTAGGCTGGTCTCCAGTCTGAGGCCTCCAAGCTCAAACCTGCCGGGTCACCATGAGCATGGCTCCTCTCCCAGGCCAGCCTTCAGGGTGCTCTGCAGCCTCGCCATGCTCAGTGCCAGCTTTCCTCCTTCTCCACTTGGGACCAGAAGCAGAGGCCAGAGCCAAGGCAGAATTTCTTTCCATCCAGCTGAGGAAATGGGGGGAAATAAAGTTAGGACTGCACTGTCTGGGTCTTCTGTGGGAAGTTCAGGCTGCCTGGCTGTGGGAAGCGGTGGTCGTGCCACCGTCTCCAAAAGGCTTCTATCTACCGTTGCCTCGCTACGAGCTTCCTCTGTGCAGGGGCCTGTGGGTCCGGCGCCTGCATGTTTCTCTATGACAGAGCTCTGAAGCTCTTTGCCCCCTAGCGCAATCAGCAGAATCGCTTTCCAATGGAGAAGCCACTGTCCAGTGAGGTGGAAAAGCCTCCCCAATCTAGAATGGGAGCTGAGAAAGGGAGAGTCTTCCTATGTTTCTTATGCTCCTGGGGTCAGCTTTCCTCTGGCTCCCTTTCCCAAGAATCCAGGAAGAGACCCATCTCCATAGAAACATGGTCTGGTCAAGGGTGTGAAAGAGCCAAGGGTCGGGAGCTGAAGTGTCCCAGAAAGTGGCTCAGGGGCCGCAGTCGTCCCATTCCCACCCTCCCTCCCTGCCCTGGCCGAGTCCCGGACTTCTAGGGAAGCCCAGTAAAGACGGAAGCTGGAAGGGCCCCTCCTCTACCCTGCCCGCAACACCTGCCCCGACTCTGGAGACCAAGGCGGGCGCACAGAGGGTGCCCCAGTGCCCCGGCGCAGCCTCCCTTCTGACCCTTGTTCTCTCACAGGAGGACCATGAAACGCAACGCCCGGCCGCGGTGCCCCTTCCGGAAGGGCGCCTGCGAGATCACCCGCAAGACCCGGCGTCAGTGCCAGGCCTGCCGCCTGCGCAAGTGCCTGGAGAGCGGCATGAAGGAGGAGAGTGAGCGGCG